AAACATTAGCTCTGTAAGCTGTAAACCTACTTTTGATTTATTGACATTCAACGAAAACTCATGCTCAGAGTTCTGAGTCTAGGACCCAGGTTAAAACATGAAATGGCTGAGTGATTAAGAGAGTCTGGCGAAGCAAGCTATGATGCAGCAGCAGCAGCAGAACGGCAAGTAGGAGATGGCCAGTTCCACTGTGGGCCTGATGAAAGCCCTCCGGGGGCCTGATCCAGCCCCCAGGCCGCATGTTTGACACCCCTGTTTTATATGATATATATCTATAACGTATGTTTCCCCAGTGGGGCAAATAGAAGCTCCTTATGACCATTTTAGGTTGGGGGGAAAGAGCAGGGGACAAATCTCATCTCCCTCAGCCCTTCCACTGAGGTCCGGTCTGAACTGGGACCCCACATGTCTGCGCTTTTAAGTGAGACTCTAATCTGCGAGAAATGTGTTTGATTCCCTTCTCTTCCACATGCAGCTGCTTGGGTCAGTTACTAGTTCTTTCAGAGCTGTTCTCTCAAGGACAGTTCTTGGAAGAGCTCTCTCAGCCCCACCTACCTCACAGGGTGTCTGTTGTGGGGAGGGGAAGGGAAAGGAGACTGTAAGCCACCCTGAGACTCCGAGTGAAGGGCAGGGTATAAATCCATTCTCTTCTTCTTTTTTAAAGCACCAGGCACTCCTGGCATCTTGTTTGGGTTGGCTCTCAGCTGGAGCTTGATCCAATAATGGTGGAAAGCTGCATTGCTGTTTCTGGTCCCATCCTACCCTACCACCACATAAATATAAATAAAAATCCCATAATAGCAAAACCAGCAGAAGGACAGAAAAGAGCCACGGGGCATCAATTAGCCAAGGGCTTGGATGGTAGTAGGCTTCTGTCCCTTCTGCAATCGCTCATTCACACATGATTACACTGTGATGGCTCATTCAAGCATAGAGCTGATGTATTACTGGAGTCTACAGGTGGTGCAGGTGGGAACCAACTCTTAGCTAGGGATGATTTCAAGAGGGAAGCATCTCAACTCAAGCATGCGTGCATGCAGGGTATGTGCCTGGTCTCCTGGAGTGACTACCACTTCCCTTTCCTGCCTCCAGAAACACCTATCCTAATAGAGTCCTTCCTTCCAATGCTAGTGCAGGTTGCACCATTGCAGAGTAAATGAGCAGCAGGCACAGAAGAATCCTCCACAACATGAAATAATTGGGGGGGGGGGGTGTCTTGGGTATGATTGTTGGTGTGACAACAGGGGTGTTCCATGCACACAAGAGAATCTTGGGCTGCCTTCGGACGTCATTTATGTGTCTCTGATGGGTACGAACGCATTTTGCCCTTGAGCTTGTATGATCTTTCCCTTCCTCCTCTTGTATGAAAAGAATGGCTGGAGCCTTCCTGGGTTTGGGAAGCTTTCAATCAAATGCATTTTCAGTGGCATCTCAATGCAGGAGCTCTGGCAAATTGGAGTTCATTTTCTCTCTACAAAATAGGACTCTACACTGGGAAGGTTTCAGGAGGCAGCCGTGCTGGTCTGCAATAAAAGTGTTAGGTTCAAGTCCTATAGCACCTGACAGACCAACAAGATCTTCAGGGTGTGAGCTTTTGAGAGTCAAAGGGAGCTTTGACTCTCAAAAGATTATATTCCAAAATTCTTGCTAGTCTCTAAGGTGCTATTGGACTCAAACCTAGCTCTCTTTCACTGAGATGGTGTTTTTGAGATATCCACTCCGAACCTGCAGTATCTTGCATGGTAGAACTGGTGGGTCAGATGGATAGAGTTGTGACCGCTAACATTTGGGGGAGGGCACTATCTGTCACTAGGTTGTCTAAAGAACCAGAAATTTTCCTCTTTGAAAAACAAGCTTAATCAGAAATGCAAAAACCTGTTTTCTTTTCTGTTTCTAAATCAAGCCTGGTGGCACGCCTTCTCTCCCCACCCTGGCTACAGGCCCTGTGAACTTTATATACAGGTACTGTTGTTATCTGTTTTTAATAGCATTTACCATGTACGTGGCACTTTATGGAATTGTGGAGGCAGAAATGGACAATCCCGCCCCACACACACAAGGAACTTCCAACGTAAAACAGACAACAGGAAAAACAACAGAGTTGTAGAGAGGAATGAATGCAGGCCAATGAGGAATTCGTAGTTGTGTTGGCAGGGTGGGTGGGTGAAGTGCTATCATTATAGGAAAACTTTAATGTGATGACACCACATCACACTTCATCGTTTTTCATTCTGTGTTTCTAGGGAGACTTGGAGGAAAGGAGACATGTGGATCCCTGGGGTTTCTATTTTTAATTTATAGAAGGTGGGAAGATGGATGTAGACAATGTGGGATAGTGGTTAGTGTTCCCGTCTAGGGTACTCACCCCAGCTATGAAGCTCACTGGGTTACCTTGGTCAGTTCCTCTTGTCATAACCTACTTCACAGGGTTATTTTGAGGATAAAGTAGGTGGGAAGTCCTGTGCACACCATTCCAGGCTCCTTGGGGGAAGGATGAGATAGAGGAGCCCAAGTCGCAAGCAAACAATGTCTTCAGTTAGGATGGGATGAGTACTATGGAATTATGCCAAAGGTTTCACCCCCCAAAAAAAGAGGCCGGTTCTGAGGAGGGACTTGTAGGCAGAGAGAGAAGTAGTACCATGTGTACCTCCCTTTGCTGAGGTAGTTCCAGCCAGAATCCTTGGAGGGGATAGCTTTGAACAGCTGAGGGCGTGGGAGTTGAAGGAGGGAAAGGAAAGGTCATTGATATATTGTGAAGGGAAGGTGTAGATTGGGGCAGCAAAGGGAGATCATAAGAGGTCCTAGGAGAGGAGATGTTCATGGAGGGAAGCTGGACATGTTACTTAGGGTCTTATAGCACCCCTTTGAGTTGCACACTGGAGGTGAAAAGCAATGCTCCCTCTAAGCTGTGGAGTCTTGTGAGCAAAAATTCTACTTTGTGAGCCACTGGCATTAAAGTTGTAAATGAGTGATTCAGCTACTGAATAAATTAGTTTGCTCTGGAGCCATCCTTCTTGAGCTAAGACAAAAATATGTGAGACAGAGGCTAAAAACTGTGAGCTAGCTCACACTAACTCAGCTTAGAGGGAACACTGGTGAAAAGAGAGCCAGTGTGGAGGCTGAACGCACTGATGTGATCTACTCTTATTTCCTAGAAGCAAAACAATCCCTTTCCAGGCTGCGTAACTTGAGATTTCTTCTGGCTCGCCTGTCGTTTCTCTACCAAAAGGTGTGGTAAGGCTGCCTCCCCCCCCCCCCCCTGAAAAGACAATTACTGGATCTGTGAGTTAATGAAATGGGAAGATGCCAAAGATCTCCTCGTCCATTTTTCTGAATGGAATTGTAAGTACCAGCTCTGTCATCCACCAAGGCTGCCTCTTTTTTACTCACTTAAGAAAAAATCCTCTTTGTTGCCATCAGGGGGAGCTTTTGAGATCTTTCAAGAATGAAATATATATATTTCACACACGCACAAAAACCCCCAAAACGTCCCAGCTCAGAAACAGAGATCCATAAACGAGCAAGCATTTAGACTCTTACCTGTGGCTCCAACTCCACTGAAGGGAAGACAGAGGAGTTCAGAAGCCTAGCAGACTGGAAACAATCTGCATATTTCAGACAAGGATTTTTTTTCCTTTCCAAAATCAACCAGTGTTTTTGCTGTAGTGTTTTTGAATTAAATTTAAAATTAAATCAGGAGGGGTTTCCCGCCCCCTCTCTCTTTTATTTGGTTTTGTTTGGGGAGGGAGAAGCCTTCCAAAGGCACCCCCCCTCCTCTTCTGCTCCAGCTCCTGAGAAGACCAGCCAGCTCCTTCACTCCTGATGGGAACCCGGGATGCAACATTTCGGATGAGCTGCTCAAAAACTGCACCGAGGGGGACCACAAAAGGGGGAGCCGGTCCGATTGCATAACTTTTAAGGCACTAATAAGAGGCAAAATTAACACCGCGAGAAAGCCAGCGCAAGCAAGCTAGCTTTTTTTTTTAATCCGAGAATCAAGTTTCAAGACTCTTTATGCACTGCAGGGGGAAAGGGGGGGGGGATGAAGGTTTACAGCAAAGTGCAAGTCGGATCCTGAGAAAGGAGAGCGCTTTATTTTGAGCCAGAAATGGGGAATGTGTGTTTTGGACAGGTCTGAAAGCAGAAGAGGGGGGAATTGCGGGGGGGGGGGCGGTGCGTGCAATTGAGCTGAGAATATCACCTTCATGTTTTCCTGCCTCCTTCTTAAAATGAAAGGGGATAGCGGCGTGGGGGTGGCATAATGGCAATGGAAACCTCCTTCAGGGTGCTGGGACCTGTGTAGTCCCGCAGATTGATTGATTAGTCACTGTCCCTGCCTGTTTTGAAAAGGGAATCACTTGATTGAGGTGGAGCACCAAATCCTAGATTAGCATTTTCTTGTTTACTCATCATCTTGAGGGGGTCTCCCCCCCCCTTTCTGTCATTTAGTGGGGAAGACGGGAGGGGGGAGAGAAGAGGAGGTTGTGGCTTGTGTTATAAAGGAGGCAAAAAAAATGTAAATGGATTAGAGCATCTTTTTGGAAGAGGGAGGGAAACGAGCGCGTGCCTGTATCTTAGGGGAGCTTGTTTCTTTCCCGTTTCTTGTAATAATAAGTGCGTGTGTGAGTGTGTGTTTGTGTGTATAAATATAATATAAATGGGGGAGGGGAGAGAAGAGAGCAACCCAGAGGCAAGCCAGCGGTGAAGAAATAGGGAAAGGAGCAAGATAGAGCAACATCCCCACTTCGACCCAAGAAGAGTTTGAATTTCATTTTGATTCCCCCCCCCCCTTGGGGAAACAGATAAAAAAAGGGGGACCAAAATCCTGAACACAAAAAAAGGGGGGGGAAAAAAAAAAAAAAGGCCACTGCGAAGGGTTATAAAAAGAGCAACTCCCCAAGAAGGGGGAACAAGAGAAGACAAGGAGGCAAAGCGAGGAGGAGCCCAAAACTGGCAGCACGGGAGGACTTGCTGGGGAGCAGGGGGGGGGAAGCTTGGAAATGCAGCTCTGGACTTCGCTCCTTCCTCTCGCGCTGCTGTGCGCGGCGGCGGCGGCGGCAGCCCTGGCCGGCGGCCCCGAATGCGGGCTGGACGAGCGCTCCCGCCGGGCGCGGAGGGACACCCGGCAGGCTCGCCACTTCCACTCCCCCGCCCCGGGCACCTGCGCCACCCGCTTAGCTCGGGGTAGGCGCTCCGCCTCGGGAGGGCTGGAGCCTCCGCGCCTCCCTCGCAGGAGGCAGCCGCGGGAGGCGAGAGGCAGCCGGGCTCCGAGCCGGGCGTTGTACTTCGGCGGCCAAGGGGCTCCGCTCCGGCTGAAGGCGGACCTGGAGCTGCCCCGGGATGCCTTCACGCTGCAAGCGTGGCTGCGGGCCGAGGGCGGGCAGAAGGCGCCGGCTGTCATCGCAGGTAAGCCCGGCGCGCAGGGCGGCCGCGCGGGAGCGGGAAGGCGGGGGGGGGGGGGGGG